GGATCGCCGCTCGGATCTGCTCCTGCCCGGTGTCGGTGTCGCAGTGGTGCCCGTCCAATGTATGGAGAAACTTCCGGATGTCGTCGTCCCATCGTTTTTTTTGGCCCTCCATGTTGCCGTCGTCCTTGTTGTCGTGTGTTGAGATTTGGTTCCAATTAAGCGCTCTCTGTGTCCAGCGTTTCGAAGGGTGAAGAGCCACCGTATTTGCCCAGCGCCAGGCCATCCTTCGGTGTAGGTGGAGTACATCAGATATATCATGTGTCAACATCAATGTCCGTGTTCTCCGTGTACTCATGCGGATGAAATCGGACCACAGTTCGAATTCCTCGTTCTGCGTATTGCCCGGTTGCGTGCTTTCGTCGTCGCTGACGTCGTCCTGCGCGTTTGGCTGGTGTGCAAGTGGGTTGCTGCAAACGTCGGAATCGCTGGAGTAGTTTGGTGCTAACCTATTGGTGTCGTTGTGATTGTCTGGGGATGTCTCTGGATTGTGTTGTGGTGTCGGTGTCGCTGCCGTGCGTCTCCTTGGTGTTCCGATTCTGATTCGTACCATTCGTCGTTGTGTTCTGCGTAACTGCTGCTTGAGAGGCTCTGTCAACGTCCACGTCTCTGCTCCGTACGTCATAGTAGGGATGACGGTGCCCCTGTATAGTCGTAGTCGGTGTCGCAGTGGATAGTGCTTGCTGGTGAGTTCTTGTCTGTGGCTGCTGAAACATTCCCATGCTGCTTGAATCTGGTGCTTTATTTCTGTTCCAGGTGCGTCGTGGAAACTAATGGTCTGGCCCAAGCAAGTGATGGAGCTTGTTCGTGGTAATATGACGATGTTCCGGCACCAGAAGAGGAGGAGCAAGAAGGTGTCCTTGACACGTGGCATTCTGGCTCACGGACGCTGCTGGACCTCTTCCCAGACCGGAGGCAGGAGACTCAGCCGGCCTCGTCAGGAGCGACACCTGCGATTGGACCGACCGAGGAGATCGTTGTGATCAAGAAGGTTCCTGTCCAGAGGGCCATAATCAAGCCAGAAAGTCGTGCTCGTGGCAAGGCAAGTCCAAACGACATCCGATAGACGGATTGCCATCGATCATGGACGAGTCGCGATCACCAGAAGGACCTCCTCAGACTCTGCACCTGAAGACGAAAGTGCGAACCAGGCCCCTGGACGACTTGCACCTCGACCTGAAGCTGACCTAGGCGAAGATGACGATGGCATCAGCGACGGCTGTCCAGGGTAATCGAAATAAAGATAATCTCCACCAGCGCAGCAGGTGAAGTCTCCATCCAGGCCGTCGTCAGCACCTACCTCGCGGCAACAAAGTCAGAGGAGTGATGGGCCCCTCCTGCCGCCGGAGGAGAAAAGGTCCAGGTTGGACACGTCCGAGGCGGACTACGTGGCGCAGTTCGCAATGGAGGACGCCGCCGTCCCCGAGACGCTGCTGCGGGAGCTGCCGCAGATAGAGGTGGCGTACACGGACCACCATGACAACGCGTCCTCTCCGTGTGGTTGGGCTTCGATGCTTCGGTATTGAAGCGATAGAGGTTGTCTTGGCAAAGTATTTCCTGCTCCCAGTTGGGAGCGCCGCATGAATTCGACAGTACTTCTACACGGACAACACGCACCTGCAAATTTTCACAAAGTATGCCTGCCAGACTCGGGCCATTCCGAGATGGCAGCGGCAATGACAACGCGGACAGCCGGCCCTCGGTTGGACTCCACCTCTTCTTGCTGGCCCGACGGATATCCAGAGCGGCGTGCTGGCTCTCTCCGGGGGCCGTCCTGGCTCGGCCGGCCGGGCGCGCGAACCGCCTTTCACGAGGTGCCCTGGGAAGGCCGGCGTCCGCGGGATTCATCTTCCCCGGCAGGCTTGGGCAAGACTTGGGACAAGGCGTGAGCTTCCATAATTTCGCGTTATTCATCTCGGGCGCCATCCGGCGCTCCTCTCGGACATTGGCCGTTCGGCGTCCGTTGGTTGGAGTATTCGGCCCGGCTGAACGGGAGGTGGCTTCTGGGGCGGCGTGTTCTTCAACCTCTACGTCCTCTTCTCCTCGCTCCTCGACGCCGTTTGCGTGCAGTCGGCGTTGCTCTCGGACAGTGGCCGTTCGGCGCCAGTCGAACGGGGCCGGACTTCGTGGCGTGGTGTTCTACATCTACGCCCTTGTCTCCGCGGTCCTCGTCGCCTTCTGCGCGCAATTGGCGTTGCTCACAGAAATTTCGGCGACCTTCCAGTCGCTCGCACTTGCGCGCTCAGTCTCCGGCCACCTGTGCCGGCAGTATCGGACAGGGCAGAGTTCCATCGAACTCGTCTGCCCTTTTTCTTCTTTGTTCGGGGTGTGAGACCGTGCTTCGCACCGACATCTTGCCTCATATACACACTTGCCAGGTGGCGTGCGCGCTCGTCAACGTCAAGCACTTCCTGCGGAAGCTTGGCATCTACGTGGCGAACCAAGCTCGACGAGATCGTGTGGAGGCGCGCCTACGAGATCTGGACAAGGACGGGCTGAAGCTGTTCGGCCAGGCGAAGCACAAGGAGATCACGGAGTGGCTCAAGCACGAGACCATCGAGGTAACCAAACGGGAGCATCCGTCAGTCAACCACGACTTGCTGATCAAGATGCGGTGGGTACTGACCTGGAAGGATGATGGGAGTGCGAAGGCGCGTCTTGTGGTTCTGGGTTTCGCGCGTCCCAGGCTGCCGGAACAGGAGACGGAGAGTCCGACGCCATCACGACGGGCTCTTAACCTCTTTCACTGGAAGGCTGCTCGTGACGCGATGCGCCTGATCAAGGGCGACGTCAGGGCCGCTTTCATCCGGGGCGACCCGATGGACGCCGACGACGAGGTGTTCGTGGAGCCAGTCAAGGAGCTAGTCGAAGCTCTCGGCATGCGGCCTGGCGACGTGCTGAAGCTCAAGAAGGTGGTGTACGGCCTGACGGCCGCTCCTCGCAAGTGGTGGCAAAGGATATGCCGCGACCGCAAGAAGCTCGGATGGGTTGCGCATCGCTGCGAGCTATGCGTGCGAAATCTTCGACAGAACGGGAGGCTGATCGGTGCGGCCCTAGCCGACGTGGACGACTTCAAGCAGGCGTTCAACGAGTCCTACGAGGAGTCCTACGATGCGCTCAAGGCAATTGAGAAGCTCTACGACTTCGCAGATGGGACGCCGGCACATACGTGAACTGTGGAGTACAGATATCAAAGCATGCCGACGGACGCATTTTTATTTCGCAGATAGAGTGCGCATTGGCCATCGAGTGTATGATAATTCCAAGGATCGGCGAGCCAGACTATCCGAAGCTCTCTCAGACGGAGAAAGGGTCCAAGGTCCGCGGGATTCTTGGAGCTCTGTCGTGGCTTGGGCAGAACACAGCACCATGGCTATGTGTAGAGATCTCCCACATGAAGGGCAGAGAAAGCAAGGCTGCCGGACCACTTTTGCTAGATCTCAACAAGTTGGTCAGACGTGCTCATCAGCAAACCCAGATACCGCTGGTGTTCTACGCCCATACCTCAGCTACAATGGCAGGTTTTGCAGACGCTGTTTGGGCAAACCGAGCAGATTGTTCAAGTCAAGGCGAAAAACTGATTTGCGCAGTTAACAATGAGTTCTTAGACGAGGGGTTCAGCCCGGTATCTTTCATGAGAAAGTAAGAAGCTCCCACGAGTGGCGAGATCTACACCGTCGGCCGAGACGCAAGCTTTCAGCGAGATGGTCGGAGAATTGGACTACGTACGGCTGGCGATGTACGAGTTCGAGCAGGGACCAGTTCATGACACGCATCGAGCATGTCAGCTTCCACGCGAGATCGAAGCCGCTGCGGTGGTGGATTGCAAGCCGACCTATGACGCGATGGTCATGAGCGAGAGCAGCGCCCTCGGCCTCACGGATAAGCATATGGCGATTGAAGCTATTGCTTGCCGCCAAGACATCCAGGTCGGAGGAGCTTTGGTACGATGGGTTCACTCCGAAGCAAACCCAGCGGACGGTTTCACGAAGATTGATGTGAAGTCCCTCAAGCCCCTGATGGCCGTGATTCTCTCTGGCAGGTGGAAGCTGGCTCACGACCCTGAGTTTATTAGCTCGCGCAAGCGCAAGGAGGCTGGCAAGGGTATGATTGAGTCTGACCCGAAGGCCAAGACGAGCGCTGGCTTCCGAGATGAAGAATCTTCAACAGTGTTGTTGCATGGAGACCAGGAGGGCACCTCAGCACCAGCGGAGAGAGGGAGGGAAGACAGCCGTGAACACGGGCATGTGCATCAATGAAGGTTTTGCTGGCCTTGTGGCTCTGTTTCAAGAGCCGGCTCTTGAGCAGACGGTTTGTCGGCCTGGCTTTTTCCTATGCAGGACTAGGCGCGGGAGGCGCCCCTCTTCATTTCCGGGGCGCGGGAGGCGCCCATTCCATGTTGATTCATATCTTGATATTGCTCGTCACACTGGACGCTTGAAAAAGGACTACAGCACTGATAAGGAGCGTCCACGACGATAAAACCTACAGTATCCCCGATACTACTATAGGAGGAGGGAGGAGGGAGGATGGAGGAGGGAGGGGGGAGGAGAAAAAGGAGGAGGAGGAGAATAAGGAGGAGGAGAAGGAGGATGAGGATGAGGCGGAGGAGGAGGCGGAGGAGGCGGAGGAGGAGGAGGAGGAGGCGGAGGAGGCGACGGAGGAGGAAGAGTAGGAAGAAGAGGAGGAGGAGGAGGAGAGACGTTCCAATAATAATAATATCAATGGTAACATTAATAATGCTACTACTACTACTACTATGATGATGATGATGATTATGATGATGATGATGATGATGAATCTGATGATTATTAATGATGATGCTGCTATGATGATGAGGAGGACAGGAATTCGAAGATGAGGAGGAAAAGGAGGGTGATGATGATGAGAAGGAGGAGGAAGAGAGGAATTCGAAGATGAGGAGGAGGAAGAGGAGGAGGATGAGGAGGATGAGGAGTAGGAGAAGAAGATGGAGGAAGGAGGAATTGGCGCGCCCTTGGCTCCTCCGCTTGCCGCGGCCGCCAGGCTCTGTCTGCAGCTCCCCGGCGTGCGCGCGCAGCAGCCCAGGGATGCTGGCGACGGACCACTCGAGGACCTCTTCGAGACGACAAGGACGAGGACGACGAGTACGAGGACAAAGAGGACGATGAGGACGAGGGCGACGCGGACGAGGATGACGAGGGCGAGGACAACGAGGACGGGGAGGTCGAGCCGCGCGTCCCTGCGGCGGATGGCGGCGGCGGACCTGCGAGAAGACCGCCTCGTCCTCGATCCTCAGCAGGCCCCGGCCCCGCCTCCTGCGGGGGGCCTTCTCCTGGTGGGCGGGCGGGAGGAGGAGGAGGGGGAGGAGAAGAGGATGACGGGGGAGGAGGTAGGGACGACGGCGGAAGAAAGATGAGGAGGAGGATGAGAATGAGGAGGAGGAGGTGGAGGAGGAGGAGAGCGAGGAGACGGATTATGATGATGCAGCTGGTAACGACGATGATTTTGAGGAGGATGTGGATGATCATTATGATGACGATGACTATGACGACGATGATAATGCCGATGATGGTTATGATGATGATGCTGATGATGATGATGATGATGATGATGATGCTGATGATGATGGCGATGAGGATGATGACTGCGGTGGTGATGATGATGATGATGATGATGATGATGATGATGATGATGGCGACGATGATGATGAGGATAAGGATGACGATGGAGATCAGGACGACGACAATGACGATGATATGATGATGGTAAAGGGGATGAAAACAGTCTCATGATGCTGCTGTTGATGATGGCGATAATGGTGGTGCTGGTTATGAAAGTGATGATGATGAGGAGGAGGAGGACGAGGAGGAGCGGGTAGCAGGATGGGATCCAATGTAAACCCAAGACCCATCAACGACGCTGCCATAAACTCTCTAAGTTCCTTTAAGGATTCATTATCGCTGCGGACAGAACCCCTTGGCAGACAATCGTCTGAAAATTCCATCTGTGCCAAAGCACCATTCCTGGGACTTTAACGCCGCGAATGAACGTCAATGTTGCGACCTGGCGATCCTACACCGTCCCAAGACACCACGTCTGGGACGTCAGCACCGTGAATCAACGTGACTGTCGCGCCCTGGCGACGTTAGACCTGTCAGAACATCATGTCTGCGCCTCATCCATAAGAACCTTTGACACCGGTGTACTCTGTTAAGACCAATGTGCGCGGCGCTAAGACGATAACCATCTTTTGAAAAGGAGCTGGCCTCCATCTGTAAAACTCTTGCAAGCTTTTGAGACGATTGTGCGCGGCGCTAAGGCGAGATCCACATTGTGAACATCTCCCGCGCTCCATCCGTGAAGCTCCTGCAAGCTTTTGAAGCGAATGTGCGCGGCGCTACGGCGAGAACCACACTTTGAAAACGAACCGCTCTTCATCCGTTAAACTCTGGCAAACTTTTGAGATGAACGTGCGTGGCGTCAAGGTAAGATCCACATTTTGAAAATCGCCTGCTCTCCATCCGTAAAGCTCTTGCAAACTTTAAAGCGAATGTGCGCGGCGCTAAGGCGAGAACCATCTGTCAGAAACCGCCCGCCCTACATCCATGACATTCTTACAAACTCACAGGCGAATTTGCGTGGCGCTGAGGCGAGCCACATTTTGATAACGACTCGCCCTCTATCATTTCAAATTTCAAGATCACAAATGTTGAGACAACAAACGAAACGCCATGCCCGTGCTACCGACCAGTCTCGGGGTGCGACACGGAGAAGCTATTTATGAGGAGTAGGGATGGGGGGAGCACGAGAAAGAGGAGGAGGAGGACGATGAGGAGGAGGAGGAGGAGGAAGAGGAGGAGGAGAAAGACAAGGTGGCAGATGAGGAGGAGACACAGGTGACGGAGGAGGTGGAAACGGCGGTGCGGAGGTCGCCGACCAGGCGGAAGGCCCTCCAAGACAACCCAGGTCGCCCGCTTGGGCCAGGCGGTCGGCGGGCAACTGACCCACACCCAACCTCGCGCTCTGTCGTCCTTGCGGCGCTGGGTCTAATTGTGAGTCTGGGGGGGAGGCTCAATCCATGGATCGTTGTATTATCTATACATCTTGAATTGGTCGTGGGGGGGTGCGGGCCAGGTGTGCGGCTTCGGCTAATCCATGCTCCTGCGGGTGCGCCCCCTCGGTTTCTGTCGGTGGGACAGGCTGACAATCTCTGGCGGTGGGGATCTGGATTTAGTCTCTCGCCAGCCGTCTCCGGGCCATTAGAGGCGCCGTTTGGGGGCGGAACTTCACACAGCCCATCCGCACCACCAGGTGGTAGAGGCGGGTTTGTCTTTGGGCCTTCCTTGGTTGTCACAGGGATAAGGGAGTCCTGGCTACGCACCTGGCCCAGGCGAGCAGGCTGGGTCTTCCTGCGGTGGGGTGGCTGTGTCGTCGGGCGGTGGCTCTGGCCGTGGTCAAACGGGGTGGCTCCCCCCTCGGTCTACAAACGGCCTCAGGCACTAGGGCCACCACGCGAGTCTGTTCCTTAGGAGAGCGCAGCGGCGCAAGCCGCAGAGGCTGGCTCGGGAGGCCCGCCATCTAACTGAGCACTGCTTTCTGGGCACTGCACGTGGTTCGATATCTCAGTCGCCATGTCGGGCGTTGGCTTCGGCGCTCGCTCGGGGTGGTCGGTCGCTGGCCTGTATCGGTTCCACTCCTGCTGCAGGACTTTGGTTCAGTCTTCTGGCTATCCTTCGAGGCAGAGTGGGCTCCTATCCGTGCCGGGGGAGGGGCGAAGGCATCTCTGCGCTCGTCGTTGGTCTCCTGGCTAGCGACATTGCTTCTCCCCCGTGCCTCGGGCAGCAGGAGGCCGTCCCTTCCAGGGGCCGAGTGTGTGCGTAGCTGGCAACTGGGTGGAGCGGGTCTGGTGGGTCGCAGGTGGTGCTCGGGTTCCCTCCTCTCCTCCTCCAAGCACGGGGGGGGGCAAGGCATCTGTCCCGAGGCGGGTCTAGGACGGACGTCCTCACCCTGTTCCTTCCTTCTCCTTTCCCTGGGAAAAACTGGGATGGTTAGAGTGCTTCAACGGCTCAAGTGGCCTTTGTGCCACCGCTGCGCCGGCCACCTTCCTTGCGCTTCCTCCTTTTCCCCCCCTCTGTCTCGCCCTCCTTCCCTCGCCCTTCCCCATCCCTCCCCCGCTTCCTCCCCCTTCCCCCTCCTCCATCCCCCTCCCCCTTCCCCTTCCCCCCTCTCCTTTCCTTTCTCAGCCTTCTGGGGCAGCGGCGGGCCTCACTTCTCTGCCCCTTTCGGATGACGATGATGATGATTATAATGATAATGATGGTGATGCTGATGCGGATGATGATGACGATGGCGGTGATGACGATAATAGCAATGATGATGAAGGTGCTTGTGATACTGATGCTGGTGATGATGATGCTGATAATGGCAATGATGTTAATGACGGTGCTGGGGACGATGACGATGATGCTGATGGGGATGATGATGCTGCTGCTGATGATGATGCTGGCTGTCATGGTGATACAGGTGGTGATGCTAATAATGACCATGATGATGTTGCCAATGATGGTGATGCTGATGATGCTAATGATGATGCTGATGTTGATAAAGATGCTTATGACAAGGATGATCGTGATACTGTTGATACTGGTGATGACGATGCTGCTGCTGATGATGATGACGATGCTGTTTATGTTGATTATGGTGATAGTAATGATGCCGACGCTGATGATGCTGATGATGCTGATGACGACGACGATGCTGATGCTGCTGATGATGGTACAACTGATGATGACGATGATGCTGATGACGATGATGTTGATGACGATTTTGATGGTGATGATGCTGCTGGTGATGACGATGCTGCTGATGATGATAACGCGGAAAAGTTGATGATGATAACGATGACGATGATCATGCTGATGATGCTGATGGTGATGCTGCCGATGATGATGATGATGACGATGACGATGCTGCTGATGATGATGATGGTGATGATGATGCTGATGCTGCTGATGCTGCTGCAGCTGCCGATGATGATGCTGGTGAGGATGACGAGGAAAAAGAGGAGGAACAAACGGATGACGAAGAGGAAGAGGAATAAGAGAAGGACCTTTTCCCGGTCTGCGATCGGGTCCTTCCTGGAAACGGGCCCTAACGGGGGCGCGCAACTTGTACACGAGCCTCCGCTTCGAGGTTGTTACATGGTCGCTGGAACTTCTCGCTTCGACGCTCCCTCCCAGCGGCCCTTTGGCTACTGACACGGCTCCGACATCCAGAGAGCCAACCGCCCGAAAAAAAGAGGAGGAGTAGGAGGAGGAGGAGGAGGAAAAGGGGGAACATTTTGGCCATGCCATTGGGGCCGTGCTACACCCAACGACGCACGCGCACCTCGGGCCAGGCGCTAAAGCCTCTGACTGGCTCCTGCAATTTTCAGTCGAAGCGAACCGCACCCGTACTCCAGGCCTCGTCGTGCGCGAAAGACGACAAGCGGCTGGCAGCATCACGGTGCCTCGCGCAACTGCAATCGCATCTTTGGCCATGCTCGCGGATGAGAACAGGCGGGCTCCACTTCGACTTCGCCGATGACAGAATGCGCTACCATGCCGCACTCGGCGAAGCAGTGCACGACCACCCACACATAAGAGCATTCTCGAGCAGGCACATTGCTGCTCTCCAGGCCTCGCACCACACTCGCGGATGGAGCAGGCGAGGGAATGCGCAATGCAGTGCGCGACAAGAAAACGCTAACATACGGCACATGGTATCTCAACATCGCAGAAGCATGTCGAATAGCCGGAGGAAGAATAGACCCACAGGAGCAGGAGGAGGAGGAGCAGGAGGAGGATAAATGGGGAGGAGCGAACGTACCCTGGCGGGGACGTCAGTTCGCGCCTAGCCACGGGGCGGCGCCGCCGCGCGGCCCGCGCCTCCGCTCAGGTCGGAGGGCAGGCGAAGGGCGTGACGGGCGGCCTGCGTGGCGTCGTAGTACTTCTTGGGCTCGTACCTGATGTTCTCCTTCATGCAGCGGTAGACTTTCGTGGCGACCGCCATGCGCATCGCGGAGCTCTTGATGCCGTTCTCGCCGTCGTACCCGACGTGCATGGGAGGGAGGCCGATCCTGGTCATGACGTCGGAGTTGAGGTTGCCACGAGGGAATGCCAGGTGGTGAAGAAGACGGGGGCACTGGAGGTAGTGGCTGATCGCGTCGGGCTTGTTGCAGCCGAGAGTGCACTGGTGCGTCTGGGGGTTGACGTGCATGCGGTCGGTGGTCGTCCAGGCACCAGCCAACGCCGTGAGAACAGCCCAGATCCGCGCGGGCGGCTGGGTCGCCAA